TAATGGCCCTTCACATCTGATATAAGCAGCTTTTACATCATTACGGCATGAAATGATCACAAACGCCAGGAGGAGGATCTCTAAAGGCCAAAAGAGGAATTGTTGACAAAATCTCTGTAACATCAACATGGTTTGAAACTCAAAGCTCTTTTATTTTAGCTTCAATATCACCGGCTTTACTCTTCTCACCCCCCTAAATGCAGAAAACCTTACTAGTAAAGTTAAATAAATTTAAATGTCTCAATTTTATATGTAGGGAAAAATTTCTGCTTCCATAAGTGGAAAATAAATATGTAGAACTCATAGTCAAAGATAAAAAAAAACACATTTTGAATACTTGGAAATCCCCAAATTTGTGCTCTTGATGACTACCTGTTTCAGCAATAATATAAATCTAAAAAGGAATAAAACAATCGGTCATTTACATGGATTAAGTTATAACATACTGTGCTAAAGTGAGTCATTATAGCCCAATTCTAACACAGACAAATAATTTAGAGTATTATACTAACCTAATTTACATGTTTTTGCACTGTGGCAGGAAACCCATTTATATACAAAACCACCACCCCACCGAGCATCCCTCTTCCAGAAACTTCTCATTTATATGGCAGAGAAATGTGGGGAGACTTCCAGAAAAAGTGAAATATGAATAAATATATGGGTAGATTTAGCAGGGGAAAGAAACGCCTGAATATTAACTCATTGACTGGCAGCCATTTTCAGAACAGAGAGTCCCATACTGCCAGAGTTTTTTTAGCATTTTGACTGATTTTTCCAGAGCCACAGAATAGTTTGTGCTATGACTATGTAAACACCGAACACACCAAAAGAAAGAGTAGACTCTCTTCTTTCATCAGGAAAAAAAAATTGTTTCTACCTTATTCCGTTCTTCCTGGACTTGCGTCTCACCGGCGACATGTTCTCTCATAGAACCGTTCCCTTTTTCTTATTTGCCTACAGTCTATGCTCATCTCCCATCAAAAGTGGCACTGCCCCCTAGAGGGTCAATTTGTTACTACATACTCTGTCTAGAAGCCCATATTTACGGACAAGCTTTAGCAGATCGTCCCCCAG